ACTACAAGATCATCTTTCCTACAATACAATATTCAAAGGGATACTGACAAAATAATTTTCTGCGATCATTGTTCTTCAATGACTGAAGGATTCAAAAGACTAAACCAGACCATCGAGAAACTAGAGACTGAAAAGGAAAAAATGACACAACATATCCACTCATTACAAGAAAGAATAAGGTTTTTACTTGGAAATAAAATTAAAACATACCATTACAAATACAAGACTACCCAAAGGGACCAAAGAGTTCTCCATCTCATTTAAAATGAATAAGACGGGTGTACATTCCCCCAACGAATGTAGAAAGAGCTATTGTATCAGCCAAAGGTACAGCTAGTCCCGTTCAAACGGTAGCGGGTAAAGACTCATCAAATCCGTTGATGGCTGACACTTTACCAAAAAGTGTAAGGATCCTGCCAGCAAGTTTCAATACGGTGGCAGAGACAAGCAAAAAGACAAAGGGATTCCTACAAAAAAGAAAGAAAAAATAATAAAAAGTTCCCTTTGCAAGTTACTTAAAGAAAAAACTAAAGAGGTTATATAAGAAAACCCAAAACCAGAACCAACAAATTCTGATCCTGAAGACACAGGGAGTAGAAGTGATGAGAACGATCTATCAATAGACCAATTTACTCAGCACTACGACCCGAATGAAGACGATGATTCAGGAATGAGTTTCGATTCCGAAGCACTACACAACCTGGATACCTAGAGAAATACGTAAGCAATGATGTCAACGAAAGAATATGTAAGCAATGACATCATAAGTCACTACTATAAGGAAAACTCCACTACCTATAAAGAAAACCTCACTCCTCATAACGGACAAGAAAAAGGACAATTATTTTGAAAAAAGTCTTTCAAAACCATGTGACGATGTGGCCCAAAGAGCACCGGGCATTAAAGAGAGATTATTTTCAACATTTGAAATCCGAACTTCAAATCTGAATCTACTCCTATAAATAGGGACCATTTTCAAGAAGAGAAAGACAGAGCGAAGAAGTAAGCAGAGCATACAGAAAAGAAGAAATTTAGTTCTAAAAATTAGTTTGATATTTCCTTTCCCTTTCCAAAAACAAAAGGAGTGTAAGTGTTTGTTTGTTGTGTTTGTGTACAAAAAGTGTGAGTCTTTATTTTCTGCAAGTAGCTGCAAGGTTACCCGGGGACCCCCGAAAGGGAAACCTCATTCCGACCATTATCATGTAAGTAGTTATCTATTTTCTAGATCTTAGTAAGTTTCTCCCTATATAATGTATTATTATGTACTGTTATTATGAATTACAATATGATTTTATATTACTATGATGTTAATATGTTCATATACCCTTTAAATTACTCTTAGTAAATGGTTAGTTCTTTACCTTATTAGTAACCCCGATGGATTAACCTGTAAATACCTAGGGAAATTGAAAGTCCGCCATGGTCAGGGAACCGAAAGGACTGTGTATCCCAGGGTGTGGTTAAAGAAGCAGGTGCTAAGAACATGGGTTAAAGAAAAGAGATAAACATAGTAAGGTAAAGTGAAATGAACTTTTGAAAAAAATATAAAAAATTGGGAGAAATTACTTAGATTTAATAACAAAAAACTACTAAACTAGATAACGGAGCAGGAAGAGGGAGTACTGAGTAGGATTTTAACTTAGGATTTACATTATCAATCGAATACACGTTTGCAAGCAAGACACCAAATGCAATTTTTATTGACTCTTTACTCTATACACTCTACTATTGAATATGCCGTTAACCATTTTACATATATGAGCCTTTTGTTTTTTCATGTGTTGTCTTTCGTTATTGTTTTGTTCTTTACTATACGATTATTGATGATCAAAGCGTTATGCAAATCATCAAAAATTGACCATCAGTGGCGGAGCCAGAATTTTCAATAATGGGGTTCAAAATCTATAGAATAGACACATAAAGTAGTCGAAGGGGGTTCGACTTCTACTATATATATATATAAAAGTTATTTTAACCATGTATAAATAATATAATTTTTCATCGAAGGAGGTTCAGATGAACCCCATTAGTATAAGGTGGCTCCGCCCCTGTTGACCATGGCTAAAAAAATATTGGAACCGTGCCGAGCACGGGCCATGCCCATCTAGTATAATATAAGCAAACAAAGTCAAAAGAATTTTTGTTAGGCTTAAAAGGTCATCTTTCAGCACTACAAAATGTAGTAATGTGTAAAATTATGTAAACCTTCCCCAAACAGTACTAACAAGATCAAAGCTCTGTCATTTACTTGTATTGATGCATTTTAAGTTATAATATATTATCTTGATTAATAAAAAAAAAAAAACTATATAATATAAAGTCCCTCAACAACAATACTTCATAGTAGAAACAAGCATTCCTGTCCTCACTTTTTTCTCTCCATTAAGATCAATGGCTGTGGTAAACTCTCTTTCAACACCTTTTCTAATTACCAAATCATCTTTCGCTACAAGGACAACAAGGCTGCCTGTCCACAGGCAAGTGGTGTTTGCAAGTATTCAAGACAATATTTCAAACAGCATCTCATCATCATCAACAACAACAACAATAACAACAACTACTTCATGTCGGATCAAATCAACTTCGAAAAATGGGCTTAAGGTATTTCGTTGATCTTTTAACCAAAGGTGATGGTGGGATTCGATCCACAAGACTTTTGTTTGTTTTGATATTATATCAAATTATATTAGGCCTAGAGTCTATCTAGACATGTATTAGAATAGGACTTATTCCAATTAGTGTGAATTGATGTTGGACCTTCATATTAAATTATCCATACATCAAATGTCCAGTTTTGAGTGTGAAAAAGAAATGAAATGTTTCTTTATATGGATTTGAGCAATCCTCCGTTCAAAAGCTAAGTTTTGAATTCAGTTGTTTTTCCCCTCCAAACGGTCTCCAAATGTTTCCCCACTATCAAAAGTTAATTACCTCGTCATTACGAATATGTTGACACTAAAATTATATTTTTCGGAGATGGACCCAAAATTGGGTCTAAAACGGGATTGTGGGACCCACAATTGGAATCCCAAAAACGAATCCGTGAAAACGTCCCAAATACTTTACTAAACTAATACTCCAAAATTTAGCACAAAAAGATGCCTAAAACATAGCAAATCAGCCCCAACAATTAAAATCATTAATAAGTCTTGACTTACGACTTGGCAGCCCCTTGATCACCAATTTCTGGAAAAACGAGACCCTTCCAAACCAAACAGATTATACCACGACGATCCTTGCGAAAAAATCTACAAGTTAGCCTCAAGAATGACTCAAAACGGACCTAAGATGGTCAAGATCTAACCTTTCAAAGTTCAACAACAATTCATTCCGAAAAATCACTCTAGCAGTAGCTAAATTCGATTCCTTACCTCAAACGAAGCCTCCCCTCGCGTTTCTAAGCTCACCTCCAGATTCCCCACGAAATTATCTTGAAATTAGCCTTTTGAATCACCTAATTATAGATTCCCCACGAAATTCTCTTGAAATTAGCCTTTTGAATCACCTAATTTGAGCTTAAAATGGAGGAGATATCTATGTTTGAAGATGAGGGAAAAAAATGGACGAAAATTGTCCTTAAATCTGGAAATTTCCAGATTTCAACACGCTGCCGCGTGGTGTCGCGTGACTCTACCACGTCACCACCGCGTTAGAATTCAACAACTCTGCAAACTTAAATTTCGATGTTCCGGACACGTTTGGAGTCGAAAAAACACCAACCAAATATGGAATCTAATTGGAAATGATATTTCGGACTCAACGATGAAGTCGGAATTTCCATTCAAGATCGCTTCGATGAAAAGTGGGTCCCACACCCAGTATCGTTTTGAGCCAGATTCCACAACGGGCATCTAAAGCCTCGGGAAGTGAACAAAGGGTCGTTCTAGACCAAAATCGATATTCCGAAGCTAACCTAGCTATCATAATTTTCATCTGAGCACGTCTTCCAAGAAGGTTCACCAAAGTCAACTTTTCAAGTTATAAAATCTCCAAAACAGGGAAACGGGCCTAAAACCCAAACGAACGACCAGGCGACCGAACAGTCAGTGCCAGCAAGTCATAAATGACTTGGGCTCGCTACAGGAATGCTCTATACGAGGAAAAGAATTCTTTAATTTAAAAATGACCTGGAGGGTCATTACAATATCCACTACTAAAAGAACTTTCGTCCGCGAAAGTAAGAGTCAAGAAGTACCTGAAGGCTCAAACAAGCTGGGGAACTGTGCCCGCATCTCATGCTCAATCTCCCAGGTAGCCTCCTCAACTGGACGATGTCTCCAACGGACCTTAACAACAGGAATGGCCCTCGAGCGCAATCTCCTCACATCTCTGGATAGAATGGCAACTGGCTCCTCTACAAATGTCAAAATCTGACCAAAATAGCAACTGGCTCCTCAATGTATCTCAAACTGTCATCCAAGTCAACTGCGTCATACTGAATCACATGGGACTCATCTGGAACATACCGACGCAACATCGAAACATGAAAAACTGGGTGAATAGCTGAAAAGGCCGGGGGCAAAGTTAACTCATATGCGACCTCCCCAACTGTCCTCAATATCTCAAAAGGACCTATATACCTAGGGCTAAGCTTGCCCCCGCCTCCCAAATCTCATTACACCCTTCATGGGCGACACACGGAGGAATACTCTATCAACAACAACAAATTTCAACAGTCGACGCCTACGGTCTGCATAACTCTGATGTCTACTCTGGGTTGTCCTGAGCCTATCTTGAATCACCCTCACATGATCCAAAACCTCTCGCATCAAGTCTGTACCGCACGGCCTGGGCTTTGTAGACTCAAACCAACCAACTGGAAAGCGACAACGCCTACCATATAAGGCCTAGAATGGGGCCATCTGAATACTCGAGTGGTAGCTATTGTTGTACGCAAACTCTACCAAAGGCAAATACTGGTCCCACTGACCCCCAAAATCCATAACACAAGCCCGCAACATGTCCTCAAGAACCTGAATCGTGCGCTCCAACTGACCATCAGTCTGCAGGTGGAAAGTTGTACTAAGGTCAACACGGGTACCCAACTCATCCTGGAAGGTCCTCCAGAAGCTAGATGTGAACTGTACGGTTGCGTTCTAGAGCCATTCTTATGGTTAAGGTCCATTAGAGACATCGTCCAATTGAGGAGGCTACCTGGGAGACCGAGCATGAGATGCGGGCGCAGTTCCCCGGCTTATTTGAGCCTTCAGGTAATTCTTGACTCTTACTTTCGCGGCGAAAGTTCTTTAGTAGTGGATATTGTAATGACCCTCCAGGTCATTTTAATTAAAGCATTCATTCCATCGTTTAGAGCGTTCCTGTAGCGACCCCAAGTCATTTATGACTTGCTGGCACTGACTGTTCGGTCGTCTGGTCGTTCGTTTGGGTTTTAGGCCCGTTTCCCTGTTTTGGAGATTTTTTTAACTTGAAAAGTTGACTTCGGTCATAAATTCAGGTAAAAGACCTC